AGCGAAATGAACATGGCCAAGAAATGCCAATAACAGGAGCGAAATTGAGTTGGCGAGGGGCGCGCAAAATGTATTGTAAATATTTCGATTTGCTTCAGATATCCTGAAAGTCCGTTTGGCAGCAATAGAAATTAAAGCTTACTATATTCAAGCTAAAATATCATTAAATAAAAGAATACAGTTCTTATGAAACAAAAGATAAAAAATTGTAAATTAATGATTAAAGACATTTATCCGTTTCAGCTTTGATCTAGTCTTAAACAGCTTTAAAAAGATTTAAGTTAAAGTTAAAGTTCTCTATTTAAATTTAAATTAAGCTTTTATCGTTTTAACTTTTCTATGAGGTAAATTAAAATTCTATTGTGACGGCCCAAAATTATTGGACCAACTCAAAAGGTCCGCCCCTGGGAATTAGGCGAGCGAGCAGAACGCATCCAGAATTTAAGTTAAATGCGCCCTATTCTTGTCAAAAGGAACCCCGGGCTGTTGGATGCCAGAAACTCAACCAGCAAGTCAATATCTAACAGGCATCGGGCATTCTCATGGTTAGACTCGAAAATACGTATATATACAAAAATCTGCTTATATGACGCCCACAACCAGACGCAAACATTTATTCTTGTAAATAACCCTTTGACACGGCATATCAGCGGGGTTTTCGCTGCCGTAATATCAGTGCCTGAAGCTTTCATTAGTTGCATGCCAATGTTGTGTTTTTGTGTCCCGGGCAACGCGCGACTCTGGTGTGCCCGAACCTGAACTGTGGACCCTGCCATTTGACATCAGCATTTGCCAGCTGGTGTGTTGCTTGTTGCTCTGGTTGTTTTTTTTATACTCTACCAGAGGATATTATAATTTTGTCACGCGGTTTGTAACGCATCGAAGCAGACAGCTCTGACTTCATAAAATGTATAAATTCTTGATCAGTATTCTATCTAAAATCTTCTCCTAAAAGTCCTAAAGCTATTGAAATGTAAATAGTATAACCAGATCAGACCTCCTTATCATATAGCTGATATAGAAATGATTGCAATTATCAGCTTAACTATTCTCTTAGATATCTTCAAATCCGTATCAAGTCCAACTTTTTTATCAAATTCAATCTCAGCTTTTTGCTTACAAGGGTATTAAAGCTTCGGCGTGCTGAGCATATTCGCACTTTCCTGTTTTTTCTTTTAATTTTAAGCGCATGTAGTTTGTCAGTGCCCGACTGTGGGAGAGCTTCTTGTTGTGCCGTTATGTGCAGTTGGGCTCTGATTAAATGAGCACCAGGTGATGCAGCATCTGCAGTCACCTGCTGCTCCACAACATTTCAAATATGCAAATTAAAAAGTTTTTTTCAACGGTGACATAAAAGCGTCAACGCAGAACTATTTAAGCTCCGACCAAGTTTAAAACAGCCGCAAATGGCGGCAATCATAAGGAATTTAATTTAGATCTAATTTGTATACCTGTAACCCCTGCAAATAGAGGGAGAAGAGAAAGGCATAGAGGTTGGAAAAAAAAGAGAGATAGAACGAGAGGGAGAAAGAGGAAAATAGTGAGAAAATAAAATGATAGATATATAAAGTGAGATAGAGAACAAATTCTATAGAAGAAAGCAAAAAAAACATAACCTATATTTAATAAAAAATTGTAAATTAATGCACATAGTATAGAAGAAGTATTAGAACAGAACATAAAAGAGTAGCTAAAAATTGCGAGGATTTAGCATTACTTACCTGCAGCAGGTTTTCTTGAATGGTGCCTTTAAAATTCACTAGTATTTCAATTTATTTTGATACTTTGTGAATCTATGTATATCTCCCCGAAACACACCAATAGAGCTAAATTTTGATGTAGCTTGAAGAAAAAAGAAAGGCAGAAATTGTAAAAACAAACATTTGCAACTTACCTTTAGCTATAGATATGAACTTTGGTTCGCAACAAATATGTCGAATTGGCCAGTTGGTTTTCATCCAGTTAGACAGAGGTTAATTGATTGTCCTGCAGGCTCTGCAGTTTCGACGGTGGCGGCATATGTGCTGCCCGTTGCCAGCTTAGGTTCTGGTACATTGAAGCCAAATGCAAATTAATTTGTTGCCCCTATAAGTTAGGTCGGCGCGTGCGTTGCGCCTCTGGTGAAAATTAATTCGAAGAGATGGCTTATCCTGTGCGCCTAGATGTATGCAAACTTTCTTAATTATACGCCCCAACGACCAGAGCTTGGTGGGCATTGAGGGCCTGCAGTGCATACTGCTAAAACTTTTGCTGTTTAGTATTTTTACCAATTGAACTGAGAATTCCTTATTTGTTCGAGGCCAAATGAAATGTTTTTAGTAAACATTCAACATACAAAATATGTGTGTAAACGAACAGCAACTTGTAAAAGTACACTGTAAATGGATAAACTGGAGTGTGTAGGAAATAATCAGCATCATCGATTCCCATTAAGTAAATATATGTATATTCTTGATCAACATAAACGGTAGGGTCGAGAATAGTTGAGCTGGCGACCAGGAAAATTAGTTTCCTTTTAATCCAATTATTCATGGTCTGGGGCTTAGGTAAATAGTATATATACTTGATCAACATCACGGTCATGCCAATAATATTTTAGCTAGATACTTAGAAATTTAGTTTCTCATTAATAATGTGTACAGGGTATTTCTTTTCGATAAACTTGCCCGTTTTCCTCTGATCAATAGTTATCGATAGTCAGGTTTTTCAAACTGATATCGATAATAATGGGAGCTCTTTCCATATATCTCCTTTCATTCAAACCTATATACCAAATATGATTGTCTTGATTTTGGGTATATTAACGCATTTAACTGCTATAAATATGCCGTAAAAGTTTTATGATGGTTGGAAAGTAAATATAGAAATTATTTAAGAATGAATTATTCATAGTCTGAGGCTTAGGGACTGTGAAGAAAAACCACTGCAAAGTAAGCAGCTGAGGCGTGCATGTTTTTGTTTGTGTGTCTGTATCTGTACGCTGAATGAAATTTACTGCGATTGCATGTTAAGGGCAAGCCAAAGCATTTTTCTTTTCGACTCGCCAGTAAATTCGTTCTTAGAATAAAATGCACCCCAATTTATAGCACAATTAAATGACATCTGAAATGACCAGATGAGGTTGCACAGTTTTTGGGCTATTTAAACTGAATGAGAAACAGAACAATTTTCGAATTAAAATTAAAAATTAAGCAGCTTTGCAGGCCCTAAAAGACTAAGTACATTTTTATGGCATATCTAATAAGTGACAGCTTTGGTCCCTGCCATAAAAGCCGCATACATGAATGGGCTGTTGGTGTTGCAGGCACATGTGTCGCATATAGTATACGCACATCAAGGACTTTAACTAAAGTTCAAATGGGATGAGCCGCGCACAGTGCAACAATAAACTGACTGACACATTGACATTCATAAAGGGTAGTACATAGTATAGTCGTGTCGCGTATATACTAGAATTGTAGTCATAAAATATGTAACATTAAGCACTGGTGGGAAAGTTGTCCTGCTTGCATATAAATCAGCATTTAAAGGGTATTCTATTTTTTAATTACAAGATAAATGCACGAAGCTCATAAATTGTCCGGGTAAGCCACTAAAAAGTTTTGTCGATAGTTGCAGCCGCCTCCGTTGGTTGGCATCCATAAAGACGTCATTGCCAGCCACCCACTGGTAAGAAAAATGATCAACAAATTAGCTGCCGAGCGTTGCAGAAGGAACAGAGTGTGGGGCACTGAGCATAAGTACTTGGCCATTTTGTTAACTGGAGCATCACATGGCACATGGTAGAAGATTTTGAGGCTTTTAGCTGCTGCCTCGTAAATATCTATAAAGCATTAGCTTAACAAAGGAAACGCCTTTTAAGTAGTGGAATAAAGCCCATTTAATTGGCTCTGTTAGAAATATTTAAGACTGAATTAAGTCAAGTGAAATTTCTTAAATGCCTATACATTTTACAATGAGCTGTTTAACCCCGACAAGATTCTTTATAAAAGAATGAATTGGAAAAAGTCAAGTGAATATATATGGATCAAGTTCGCTGTAACTACTGTAGTTATTCTATAAACGAATGGTCACCCCAAAAACACAAAACAACCAGAGATAAAAATACTGAGAATTACATTATAATTGCGCTGATAAGTGAATGGTCACACTGGACTTCTTCAGATCATTTGGACGAGAGGAAGTGAGGCGTTGCAGGTAAGTAAAGCTGCAAAGCAATAAATATAGAAAATATTTGTAATAACGTTTCTAAAGGTGAGTTTCTTTCTTTTATAATTAGGTATATTTGTTTAAGAACACGTAGGGTCTCTGCTGCCAAGTGTGAGCGCATGAGTGAGGTGAGGACAGAGGCAACAGCTTGGTAACTGCAATAAATTATAATACTCTAAATTAAATGCTGAATGGATGAATGAATTAATATATAACAAACGAACGGTTCAAAACGGTAACAAAGGTCACACTGTAGGCGCAGTGCTGCCAGTCAAGTGGGCTCATTGGAAGGGAGTAAATAATAAGTGCAAAATGATTATAGGAAAGGTGAAACAACTCGAGGAAATAAATATAGGGTCACCCTGAAGGTGCAGTAGGCGTCAATGCTGGTGAGTCTTTTTATTCTTTCTATAATTTCGTATATTATTATTTATTATTGACTGAAAATACTGAGGCGAGGACTGCAGCGTGGCATCTGCTATAAAAAAGCTGTACATTTTTTACATAATTTAATTGTGAACGATTAAAGAACTAATATAGTGTAAGTAAGTCGAAATATAAACGAATTGTCAGACTGAGGAGACAGTGCTGCCAATCGTTTATGTACTTTAGAAAGAAAAATAGATTAAAGTAATATGCTCAGCAAAAAGGCGAAAAAGGTTAAAGAATTATATATATATATATATATACACAGAAAACAAATTGCTGCCAATAATTTTTGCACATTTGAGAGAGAACAAAAATTAAAAGCAAAATGATCAGACGAAAGACGAAAGAGCTCTAAGAATATGTATACGCATATGTATGGTCACCCTGAAAATGCAGTGCTGCCAATCTGAAACTGTGAGGCGTAAATAGAGTAAATATTGGAAACAACAAAAACGTATTAACATTTCTAGTAACACTGAATGGACGCCAGTTGGCGCGTGGCTTTGAAGCCAGTTACTTCCGGTTGCTTTTAGTTTAGTCAAAGTGAGAGTATGTATCTTAATCCGAAAGTTGGCAGCCTTGGTAAAAAGTTGGACACGCGTTGGCAATTACGCATTGGCCAAATGAAATTCAATACGCTGCAATACGCGACATACTACATAGTACAATACTAAAGACTACATACATAATAAGTACATATATAGTATATAAGATATTGGAGATTATTGACGCTTCTTGTTGACACTTGATCATTAATTATATTTGCGCGTGGCGGGGCTTCGCATGGAAGGGCATGCGAGCACTTGCGAGCAATCATATAAAAAGCGGCCAAGTTAATTGATTAACGATGAACGGGCGGAACGGACGGGACGGGCCATCTGCGGTTGCGGATGTGCGTCGACCAAATACGGCCAACCATTCGCAACAGGAGCACAATTTGCTTTATTAAATTGCCATTAACGGTGGCCGTGGCTTAAACTGGCTAACTAAGTGGGTCAGTACACGTTCCCATAATCATACGCCATGTGGTACGCCGGCTGATTAGACAGGGTAGCATGACGTCTACTTGCCGGGTTCTGGCTAGCACAGGGCCGAAGCATTTAACGCATTTGGCTGTGGCTAGCAAAAACATACTATAATAAAAAACTGCAACTAGGCCATTTGCCACGCCCTTAAATCAATGCTCAGTCTGTCGCCCTATCTCTGTGAGCGTGGCTAAAATGATTTATGATACGAGCGGCAGTTTGTTTGGCCAGTCGCCGCCGGACACGAATGCAAATGGCAATGGCAACAGCGAACCGAAAACAGAAAATAAAAGCAAATACACATGTGCGCTGGTTGGCTCCACGAATTGTGGCAACCAGATACAGATACGTGGCGCAACCGAAACGTTTGCACTTATTGCATATAAGCGGAAATTATGGCTTGAAGTTTGCGTTGACTACGTTATAAATTACAATGATTGACGTTGCATGTTCGGGGCTTCGTTTAATCATACAATACACGAGTGCGTAAATATTTAATAAGTATATTCGCTGGAAATTAAGCCTCGATATCCCTGACACAGATAAAAATGCATATTCGTATCTAAAATTACACTCATCAGATATTATTCTTGTGATATCCTCGCGCTGTCAGTTGTTTGCTCAACTGCTCAACCAAACAGTTTGAAATTGACTAAGATATAATTATACCCTGTAACTGCCGCAAAAGAGTTGTCACAGGAGTCTTTGTAGCGTCTGTAGAACAAGAATAGGAGCTGGAGCTACCAGGGGTTGCATGGATATCAGAGGAACCCGACTTTTTTCTGTTGACTTAAGGGTCTGGCTTCTCAAACATGAGTTTGCAGTTTTTTTAACCTTCCGAAATTTAATTAAAGTTTTTTCTTGATTTCCTAGTGGGTATCTAGTTCTGGATATATATAAAAAGTTCCAAGCGCAACCTTATAGAATTTTCACCTGCTATTCATCATTTTTGCTGGCATAGGTGCTTGAAATGAATATTCATAGTATTTGAAATTGTGTGCAAGCACCCATATGAAAAATGAGCCAGCCAAGTGCTACCTTAGTTTTTCCATGGGCTTTCAATAATGAATTCATACCTTGGTTGGAAAAATGTTATGGTTATTTTTCTCTTTTTACTGTATAATTGCTTGCATTTATGTATTGTATGCGCTCCCAGTAGTTGATTAATTATAATTTGCGTAAAAGGCAAAAAATTGGCGAGCTGCACTTTGAATTTCGTTTTTTTTGATACCTTTGCTATGTCTCAAATTAAATTCTTTGAATGTCGAGTGAAGCTTTATGATTTTTTTTGCTGTCCAGTTTTGTCTTTCGGTTTCTTTTTTGTTCGATGAAAAAAACATAAAAAAAATTTGTGTTGATTTAGTTACGACCTTTAAATATTTTATTTGTATACGACCTTAATATATTTTATTTGTATTTTGAAAGCTGCCAAATAAAATCTAGAAGTTTTGCAGTGGTCCTTTCCGTCGCCGATAGCGTGTTGGGCTCCCTCTCGCTCCATTTCTCTCCCTCTCTCTCTCTATCTCTCTCCCTCCACAAACCCGAAAGCTAATCTGTCACGCCCTAAGGGCTTTGCTGCGCTTTGGTATTGTTCATACGCAATGTGCGCCACAGGCATTTAATCGTCATGGAAGCTTCTGTTGCATTTTGCATTTACCTCTTATGTGGCGCACAGTTTGCTAGTTAGTTGACACAGCTATGCAGCGTCTGCAGAAATAGCTGGAAATTGTATACCCTTTCCGAGGGTCATTTGGTGATGATATCAGTAACACTTTGACATTGAAAGGTCCTCTTCCTGTTCCTGTGCAAAGCTGAAATACGCTTTGAAACTATTTTAACCCAATTCTCATATCTCAATCGGAATTGAAATGCAATCTAAGTAGTATTGATCGCAGGAGTTGCTTAATTCAAAAGATTTTCTTGATTAATAAAAGGGTAGGCTGCTTGCCTATCAGAAAATATGAATATGCTTTTTTATCTAGCTCTTAAAAACCAAAATCTGCTGAGTTGCATAGCAACCGGCTGCTGTGACCATCGCTCAACAGAGGCTAAATGAGCCAAATCTCAAATGTCAAATGACGCCCAACATGCATTCAGTTGGTAATGAAAAGAATTGAAAAAACTTAAAGTACGTCTAGTTGACGGATTTCGACTCGTTATCCTATGTTTAACTTGTCACATACGTGCATGGGTAGTAAATCTTACCTCAGGTTAAATGAAAGACTTCATTTTACTGAATGTTCTGTGTGCTTCTATTTTTGTCGCTTTTGAAGTCCATTCACAAAAAATGTTGCGATTTTTTGCCCACGGCCACTAGTAAGCGAGGAAATTGTGTAAAACGAAATCTAGCGCAATTTCGGAGCTCTATTTTAATCTTCTGCGCGTTGCAAATAACTAAAGCTTTCACTAAGGAAGCTCAACATAGTTCGGTATTGAAACTTAAACCAAAATTGTAATTTTCTGATGATTTTCTAACAGAAACTGCAATACTAAGGGAATGCTTTATCATGCCTGTGTGGCATTCATTCAGACAGATTGTTTTCATCCGACAATTGGAATTGCGTAAAAGCAAAATCAATCACAACAACGGCAACCATACTTGAGTCCCTGTGATTTGTGCTGCCTCTACTAGAGAAGAAGTTGAGAAAATGATGATATCTGCGCATGATTTATGCATGGCCGTTCGATAATTTAAAGCTGTTGCCATTGTGTCTGCCTTCTGTCGTCCGATTAGTGGCGAGTGACAACACAGCCGCAGTCGACATTTAACAGCAAAACTTAAATTCCAACTGTGTGCCTCCACAAGTATTGTAATTGCTCAGCGCCGAGTTGCAAGCTGCGTAATTAACATATAAATCAAGTTAATTTTTGCCTTATTTTGCTGCTGTCAATTTGCTCAAGTCTTCAAGGTATTAATTAGAAACGAAGTACATTAACACTCGCGCCAAAGAAATTAACTTCGTCTTGTTAAACTTAATAAAAAAGTTTCGCTTTTTGCCCCATTTCTTGCCAGCTTGGCGCTGGGACTTATTGACAACTACCTGGCCTTAAATATGAACACCCAAAGCAGCCGCAATAGTCTTCACAAACTTTGTCTGTTCAATTTGGGTTTTGTTACAGTATTTTTTCCTTTTTTTATTCAAGGGAAGCGCATTTTTGATAAACTGCCTGGAAAGCATGCTAACGGAAAATAAAAGCGATTTTGTTCAAAGAAATTAGCAAGAAGTTCTTAAAACAAACGTTTTTCACTGCTTCACTAGTCCTGGGCCTTTGTTTGGGCCCGGGCTCTGTTTACCTGGCTGCCAAATCAATAAATCAATCAAATTCGTTGGGCTTGGCTAACATTTTGAATTCATATGAAATTTAATTAATTACCTATTTGATATACCCTTGATTTAATTAATTATGATTATTATTATGATTATTAAGCTTTTATTACGATTTACACTTTGCGGTAGGCTGATTTATTTGCCTATAAAAATTATATGTATTTTATATCCAATTAGTTCTTGAAGAGCCGAATCAGCTGGCATTTATGTATTTATGTAAAACGTTTATATTTTTCTATGGTTTGTTGCCAAACTCAGAAATTTAAGTTATTAATTAGGCGAGTTTTTTGGTAGCTTTCATAGAAACAAACGCTGGAAAGCAATCAAAATATTTTTTCTACTTTTCTGTTTAAATGTTTTTAAATTTTAACAAAATATCTCCCAAACAAATCCACAGGAATTTATTTCGGTTGGCTTAAAACTTCTAGTAATAGTATTTGGTCAAAATCACCTCCAAAGCAAAAAACACATTAAATAAAACCAATGAGCAGAATAAAAATTATACATATTTTCTGAGAATTCTGATACTCCTTTTGACGCTTTTCATTGGATTTAATAACCAAAATTGTATTTAAGAGAATCTCTGGTAAAATATTAGCAAACAAAAGCCCACAAAATCATTCGACCACAATGATGCCATTTGGCAAAAAAAATTTATATAATCGCTCCCAGTTTTTGTTTTATTGAATTGGTGAAGGACTTGTGTTTTGTTATGAAGTACAATTCAAATTGAGGCCGTGCACATGCTTTAATTATACATAAAGCGTGCATTAAATATGTATTTAATTGATCAAATTGACAAAAGGGTCAATGCTGCAGGCTGACATATACCCATAGAGCAGCAATAATGCTTGATTAACAAACAGCCGACTCGTTGATTGTTTCGGAAACTAAAATCTCTCAAAGTTCTGTGTCAACGACGGAGTTTTGGAGAGACTTGCTGACTGTATCTGTAATTAAAAAAAAAACTTTAATATTCTAATATTAAACGCAAAGAGGCTACAACTAATTCACAACTCCAAAGAGTAGATGCTTCTGCTTAATTCATTGAGTTTAGGGTCCATAATTGTGGTACACTTTTTAAAGCATACTTTTCAGCTGCTAACGAAAAGTTCTTGTGGGTTTGCCATTAAAGGCCTAACAGGCCTCTAAATTTGGTTGTCTAATTTGCGGCTTGCTGCTCCAAATGGTTCGCGCTTTCACGATATGCTTAAGCAATGGCTGGCGGCCATTTGACACGACTAACGACACGCAGCCTAAAAAATCCGCTAAATTGCTGCGGATTTATGCGAATTCCAAAGCCAAAAAGCCGGCGAGCAAACACGGTTTAATGAATCAATGCTAAGGTGCGGCTGGACAAGTGTCGGCTCTTGGACACGCTTAAGCTGAGAGCCAGAATAACAACAACACCCAAGTCAAATGCCAATTTAATTGGCGCCGCGGGTGCCCAGAGCCTGATGCTGACAGACGGCCCAACGATTTGGACAGCACACTTAAAAGCGCCTCTTCCTGTTGCGATTCTTCTTTCAAGTTGGCTTTGGCCATTCCATTGCGCTCAATTAAAAGTTGCGCCAATGCTCAGCGGGCAACCGGACCGCAACACTCGGCTCTTCAGCCCAAATAACAAATGTGCAAAGTTTAGTGAATTAAATGCGGCAGCGATGACCTTGCAGGCGGCTCCTCGGTGACCATTGTCAGCCAATGTCTAGCTGCGCGACAAAGCGCTAAGCTACTCTCCTGGCAAAGTTACAAATTTCAACAGAACTTGACTTTACGCTGATAAGTTGCGACAAGACTCTTATTAATGCCAGGACAGAGAAAACGGTGCCTTTTTGTATAATTTGTTTGACATTAGAGCTGCGAAGAACTGACTAATCTAAATTAGCTGTCATTAGCAAAATAACTGACAGTTACTTAGGCTTAAACTACTTGGGAATCACAAAAGCTACTCTTTGTGGGTTGATGTTACAGTAAGAAAGGACAATTACCATAATATTAACATTCTAAAGAGTAGCTTTTGTGGCTCGTAAGTAGTTAACTTAAGCTTTAACTACTTGGGAATTATAAAAACTAATCTTTACAATATTAATGTTAAAGTAATCTTTTTTCTCTCTATGTTAATGTTAAATAAAGATGCTACGTAGAGAAAAAATGTATTATTGCACCATTATAAGTCAAGAGCGTAGTTTTTGTAATTCGCAAGTAGTTTAAGCTTAACTAACCTTAAGTTATTTGGTTAATGCTTAAACTAAACTACTTTTAAATTATGAAAGCTGCTCTTAAGAGTTTTTGTGTTATGGTTATATATTTAAAGGTACCGTTAACATTCCTGAGAGTGGATTTTGTAATTCCCAAGTATTTTAAGCCTATGTAACTGTCAGTAACTCCATGAACATTGTTAAGGTTCGCCGCGCCCATTTTCGCCCCTTAAATGACGATAATATATCTACCACTGAACTTCTTAAAAGTTCGTGGCAAATATAACTTTGCATTGGGACTTCATATTTAGTCCTCCTTCCCTGGAGTTTTCACGCATACAAGACTCAAGTCTGAAGACTTCCATATGAAAATATGTTTTCATCATAAAAACAGTTTTCCATTTAACAAGCAGTGATCCATGTTTTAGTTGTAGCACACTTACAAGGTTTTATAAACGAAACTGTCTAAAACTAAACAAAAAAAAAGAGGAGAAAAATTATTATTAGAATAAAATATTAACTAGTCAACACACAGTGCTCCCAGCTTCGGTTATGAATACATCAATACCCAGCATTCAAATAAAGAAGGGCGTCTGCCAGCTGATGGCCTTGAACAGGTTCAGTGTGCAGCAATGGCTGAAAACCTTCGACACGATGATCTTCGATGCGGATGGGGTGCTCTGGAGTTCGGACAAACCGATCCCAGG